ATTGTTCCTATGGGAAAGTTTCATAGATACAGATAGGACGGACAACGGACATGGCTATATGAAACTTATATACTACAGTCGGAACGAGCCGGATCTGACGACTATAGCATATAGCTCCCATAGGAACAATCGGAAAAATAAATGAAAAAAAATTATAACTTTGCTGTTTTTCAATTTTTTGTTTAGTTCTTCGACATTTAGTAATGGTTTAATATTTTCGATTTACGGTTTAAATTTCATCAAAATCGGACGACTCTAGCATATAGCTCCTATAGGAACAATCGGAAAAATAAATGAAAAAAAATTATAACTTTGCTGTTTTTCAATTTTTTGTTTAGTTCTTCGACATTTAGTAATGGTTAAATATTTCCGATTTACGGTTTAAATTTCATAAAAATCGGACGACTATATCATATAGCTCCCATAGAAATATTAAAAATATTTAAAATAACTATCAAATAATTAAGCTGCAAATCATCATAGCTTCAATGTTTTTAAACATATACGCAAGTAAATCATTATTTTAATGTTTTCAAAAATGTTTAATTCCTGCAATAGCTGCAAGGGTATATGAACTTCGGCTTGCCGAAGTTTGCTTTCTTTCTTGTTTTTCATTATTTTTCTTTGAAAAATTTTTCTTACATTCTTTAAATTTTATGTAATAATATGTAATTAAATTTTAAAAAGTAATAATATAGATAGCTGAAAAAAATCATCACCTAGAATTGGTCGTTTCACAAAAAAACACTTTAGCACAATCGAATATCAAAAGTCATACTTAAAAAAGAAATCGTTGTAGTACAATTATAACGTTTTTTATTGCGTTGACATTAAGGTAATTCCAACTTACATAAGAACAACATTAAAACCTTCTTGGTAGCTTTTTAAAATAATGCAAATCTTAAAAGGTGTTGAACTCTTTTCAGCCATTTTCAAAAAAGATTCGTGGAAATGAACAAAAAATTAAATGGCCGCGCTATTTCTATATAAGGCTGTATACTAAAATTTTAAAATATTTTCCTCTACTTGCAGAATTTTTTTTTCTAAATTTTAATAAATTTTCTTATCTTTATATTTTAGGAAGTGGTGATTGCTAGCTCATTATCTGTAACCAGCGGTATGCTCAATCTAATGAGAAATTGTCCGAAGGAAGCCGCTCATCTCAGAAAAGAGCTACTAATTGCAGCCCGTCATATATTTGCCACAGACTTGCGTCAAAGTAAGTTTATTTGAGTTGTATACCATTTTACTGACAGTACAAAAGTTGAAACCCAATACGATGACATTCTCCAATCTTCAAAGCAGGGGTTCTCACGCCTTTGCACAATGAGCATTTTTTTTTTAAGCTAGATAAGTTTGCTGGGGGGCTATACACAAACAATTTTCGCACTTATCCCTGACCCCACAAAAAATTGTGCGCGCCTTTTCGGCTGTTTATTCGATTTTCTGTTTCCTGACTCATTTTCGAAAAAAAATCGAGGCAAAAATGGCGGCAAATGTGGTCAAATACCGCACCAAACAGTAAGTCGTTGTAAAGGTTTCGGAACTCCAAATGCGGCAATTCTGCAATTGACTAAATTATTTGCTCAGCACATCGCAAACAATACATGCGGCTTTCGTTTGGTAAGGAGAAGAAAACTGTTTAATTAGTAGTCTTTTTTACTGAAACTCACTAACTGCCCAGAAAATAGCAAAACTCAATCGTGGACCCGGTTATAATAATTAAATTGGATACCGTCCGAAAGTAATTTAGTATAAATTGAAGTGCTTTTATGTAATGTCTACTAATAAGCATTGAAATATTTCGTATATCAGGACTTTTAAGGTTCGACCAGTTTCGGTATCAATATAAATTATTATAAATTTTCTATAAAATTCTTCAGTGCGCTGTGTTTTTCCGTATATTATTTTTAAACCATCATAGCTTCAATGTTTTGAAACATAAGTTAGTTTTGTTGTTGATCCGGTGGGTGATGAGTCGCCGTCGATATCAGGAACTTATTTTTCTTCCTCTCAGGCGAACGGTATGTCCGCTGTTGATTGATGGCCGGCTGGCCGAAGGTGTCCCAATGCTGAATTAGGATGATGTGGTCAACAACTTTGGTTTTGCTGGCCACAGTAAACTACTCCCCCTTTTAAGTTAAGGCCGCCCCCGGTCGATCCTAAATCTGCAATCACTTCTTTTATTTGGATGGCAGATCTTTTTGCCCTACTAAGTCGCTGGTAAATAAGACCAATGCAGATGAGCGCACAGCATATTGTTCCTACAATAATTGCTGCGAGATACATTTGGTTGTCGTCAATTTCGTCTCGGAACTCCTTGATAAACTCCAAGTCTCGTTCACTCAAGCGGTGAATGTACGGGAGGCTGAGAACATCTTGGTTGGCAGTGATGTTCAACAGGGGGGAACTGGCTGCCCCTGGAGTTCTCTTCTGGGCGTTAGCGTGATTGATGAAGAGGGTTTCTTTTATCATGGCCTGTTTATCGAAGGTGATAAGGTGAGTGCCATGTATCCAGACTTCTGTCCCATTGTCCACTCGAACATTGGCAGACCTGTCGTTGATGATTACGATCCCTTGGTCCACGTATGTGATTGGGTGCAGGTCGCTCTGTCGTGTTCGGCAATGCGCCTTCCCACCAGCATGCAGTTCTTTGGCGCATGAACTCTCTGCCAAACGGCAGAATGTGGCTCCCGGTGACACGGAGCAGTTTTTAATGGCGTTAATTTCTCCGCCGCATTCCGCTATAATGTTGTCTGTTATCTGCAGCATTCTCTCACTATGAGCGACTGGAAAAATAGTTATCTTTCTGCATGCTAATTATACCCTTGCAGAGGGTGTTATAATTTAAGTCAGAAGTTTGCAACGCAGTGAAGGATACATCTCCGACCCTATAAAGTATATATATTCTTGATCAGCATCACTAGGCGAGTCGATCTAGCCATGTCCGTCTGTCCGTTCGTCTGTCCGTCCGTTTATATGCAAACTAGTCTCTCAGTTTTAAAGCTATCTGCATGAAACTTTCCCAAAAGTTGTCTTTCTATTGCAGGTAGTATATAAGTCGGAACGAGCCGGATCGGGCGACTATAACAGATAGCTCCCATAGGAACAATCGGAAAAATAAATGAAAAAAATTATAACTTTGCTGTTTTTTAATTTTTTTGTTAGTTTTTCGACGTTTAGTAATGGTTAAATATTTCCGATTTACGGTTTAAATTTCATAAAAATCGGACGACTATAGCATATAGCTCCCATAGGAACAATCGGAAAAATAAATGAAAAAAAATTATAACTTTTCTGTTTTTTAATTTTTTGTTTAGTTCTTCGACATATAGCTATGTTTAATTATTTCAGAGTATGGTTTAAATTTTATCAAAATCGGATGTCTATATCATATAGCTCCCATAGAAATAATAAAAATATATAAAATAACTATCAAATAATTGAACTGCAAATCATCATAGCTTCAATGTTTTTCAGCATATACTCAAGTAAATCATAATTTAAATGTTTTCAAAAGTATTTAATTCATGCAATAGCTGGAAGGGTATATGAACTTCGGTTTGCCGAAATTTGCTTTCTTTCTTGTTTTTATTTAAAATCGTTTATACGCATGAAACATTTACAAATGTGTTTTTTCTATTGAAGGTAGTATTTAAGTCGGAACTAGCCGGATCGGACGGCTATATCATATAGCTCCCATATTGATTTTATACGGATTATTCTGTCGGAAAAAGCTTTAAATCTTTAAGTTATTAATTTTTAATCTTAATTGGATTGAAATTAGTTTTAATGAATAATTCCTTTCGCCTGATTAAAACCTTTTACTCAACTGAAACTATATTTTTTTTTTTTTTCTTTTAGAATTCATTCCATCAATTGATAAACTATTTGATGAGGACTTGCTTATTGGAAAAGGGATCACATTGGACTCGATTCGCCCTCTCGCATACTCAACACTAGCAGATCTTGCTCACCATGTTCGCCAAAGCCTAAGTTTAGACGTATTAATTAAAGCAGTAAATCTTTTTTCAAAAAACGTTCATGATGAAACACTTGCTGTGGGTATACAAACCATGTCTTGCAAGCTTTTGTTAAACCTGGTTGATTGCTTACGACACCACAGTGAAATAGAGCCTCAAAGATCTAGAGCTATTCTTTCAAAACTTTTAAAGGTTTTTGTCAAAAAATTTGAAACTATAGCCAAAATTCAGCTTCCATTAATTATTCAAAAATGGTGAGTACAACACAGGTTTCGGAACATAATACATCATGATTATAATACATAATGGGTGAAAGAATTCAATTGGAATTTGAAACAAAAAATTCTTATCCCTATTAAAGGCATACATAGTTTGCCTTCTCTTTATATATATATATATGCTTATGCTTAAAAAAATATCACAACATTTAATCGATTGTTTTAATATATCCCCAAGAAATTTTCCTGCATATTACTGAAACGTTTAACAGGTGTTATTCCTTAGACTTTCATTATATTTCTATATCAAATGTGAGATCGTGTTTCAATCAGTCAAAAGACTCGAAACAATGAAAACCATTATATGAGGCAAAATCCTTAAATTACGCAAAAAAAAAAAATTATCGTTTTTATGGCAGTTACAGGATATGGTCGTCCGATCGGCAAGATTTCTTACCTTGATAAGTTAACACATACCAAAACACGATTTGGAAAGTTTCAAGAATTTATCTCATATGCTGCACAAATAATAAGATATATGGCAACTATAGTGTTGAGGCACACCCATTTCTTAAACTAAATTTTTTATCAAAAAATATAACTTACTCCTTGAGTTTATAAAATAAATCTTACTCCTTGAGTTATATTTTTTCGACTGAAAAGTGGAATAGAAATCGATTAAGTGGACTGCAGACAACATTTTAAGATTTTGTTTCAATTTGTACAAAAATAAAAAAAAAGAAACGCATACAAATTAATGTTAAAAACTCACGCTACCTCTTGCCTTCGGCTCTCAAGTTGGTCCCTACGGTTATCTTTCCACCGACTCTTTGTAAAAATTTATTTGTTTTTTATTTTTGTACTTTCTTTTTAAACATATTATTGAAATGTTAGAACCTAAGCTTTGATTTTTACGAGAGAAAGCTCTATTTTAAACTAGTACCACATCTTTCTATGTTACTTTTTGAACGCTGAAAAATACTATCCCGCGTTTCCCTTTTGAATACATAAAATGAGATTACTTTTTACAAGAAAACGATCTTGTTCCTGCAACATTTAAGATATAGTTTACCTATTTTGACCAAATCTCAAGGTATTGGTTCTGAATACTCTGCTAAAACCAGAGATTTATACTCAAACTTAAAAAAAAAACAAGAAAGGAAGCAAACTTCGGCAAGCCAATGTTTATATACTCTTGCAGCTATTGAAAAAGTTAAATACTCTTTAGAACATCTAAAATTCGGTTTATATGCGTATATTTATTATACATTAATACATTAAAGCTATGATGAATTTCAAATTAAATATTCGATCTTTGCTATGTCAGCTATATGATAACATTACCCGATTCGAATAAAATTAAAAGAGTAATTATGGTTTTTGTTAAAAATAAGTAATACAATTAAGTATTAACCAGACAAACCGCAATGAACAAATAAAAATGCACACTTAGATTTTATGAACCGCACGCTCATAACGCCAGAAAAAAAGTGAGCGAGAATATCGAGAGAGTAAAAGAACAACGAACAGGCGAGAAAGAATGAGCACATTGGGATGTGTGTCTACCCAGTCGGAAAAAACACGCTTTCAGGATGTGTTCTTTTACGCTTCCTTTGCTTGCGAAAAACGCATTCCAGATACCTGAAAGCTCCCTTTCCTTTTTGTTCGAGACGGGACAAGAAGCAAGCCTTCTTTTAGGACCGATCTAAGAACGAATCTTAATGCGTTCCATTGTAAGGTAGTTTCAACTTTGGAAACGCTCGGGTTTCCCTTCCATTTGTACTTTACGAGCATTCTTTAAGCATTCTACAGCGCACTGTTAGAATGAACATAGACACGTTCCTCGGGAACCTTCCTGGATAGCTTCCAAAGCAAGCATTGCGCAACACATGTAAAGAATGAATATTGATCCCTTCCACAAGAACACATTTAGTATGATTCCAAAACATGCCTTCTAATAGTCTTACCGAAGAATGCAAATATTATCGTTCCCAAAAAAACTATTGGGAACCGTTTCTTTTTTCAATTCCAATTTTTATTTATTTAATTTTTTTTTTATAAACGTTTGATTTAAAATTTATGGTAATTAATTATAATTACTATAATTACTCCAGGTCGTTTTTTTCTTTTCTCATCCTTTCTGCTATACTTTTAGCCTTGTAAGTCTTGTTCTTAGTCCTAGTGAAGGCCAGTCAAAGGTCTTTTATGTGGTCGGTTAAGTGGTAGCCGTCCCTCCTTTGTGATGTAATAATGAGAAAATATAATATAAAATATAATAATGAGAAGGAAATATGTAATTTTTTTAAAATATGATTGTAAGTTTGTAAAACACTTACCGAATAATGTTTAATTTAAATGAATGTAGGACGCAAGACCTTCCCCGTCCCTAGTACCGCCATAATTAAGCTCAATTTCCCATATCCTACTGAAGATCTAGATTTTCCGAATTCAAAAATTTTTAAAAGTGCATCAGTGCGTTGAACTCTAGTAACATTATTATTATGGTACCATTCTAATAATTTTTCACGGAGATTTATAGGTATCATACTCAAAAGAATAGTTTGATGCACTTTTATCCGATTCGGGTTCACATAAATTTGGGCATTCATTTCCAGAATTATTTTCTGTATCAAAAGTAAGAGCTCTAGCAGCCGATTGATGAAGCTCTTCCTTTTGTTTTTTTGTTAAACGGTGAATATTTGACAGCGACATTCCCCTCATTTTAAATTATGTTAGTTGTGTTTATTTTGTAAAATATTTTTTTTCAATTAAATCATAAAATTTTTTATTTATGTAATGTCTAATTTTTTAAATTTATGTTTATTTTTCTTAAATTTTTGTTCACTTAATTTGTGTTCTTAGGACCACCCTAAAAACACAACTTGTATGTAAATGTTAGTCCACCCTAGGAAGAAGTAAAAGTAAGAGAGAAAAAAGACAGCACACAAATAAACAAAACGAGTTCACAAAACAAAAAAATTTAAATTTATGAAATATTACCTTTTGTCTTGAAATTGTTTTTCTGGAATTAAACGAAAATAATATTTAAAACGCATTAATTAAATTAAAACTCCACACACAGTTTTATGAACAATTTGTTTACATTTGTTTTGACCGTACACTGTTTTTAAGACTGTTAATAAGTGTTCATAAATTTAATATTTTTTTGGCACAGGTACACATCACATATTGTTTTAATTTATCCATTGTTTGGTTCATGTTATTTTATTAACAGTATTGGAACTCCTATTTAGTTTGTTTATATCAACACTATACTTACTTGAAAATTAAAACCGCAAAGAATATATTAATTTCACAGATCACAGAGGCACCAGCTATTCCAATTGGAAATCAAAATGCAAGTGGCGAGAAATGCAAAAGAAACGAAAAAGACCTCGCGCTTTCTTGCATTTTCTCTTTTGTTCTTGTCGTTTGCTTTTTAGAGTACCGTTTTGTTCGGTTACTCCTTGTGAATACAGTGACGGAGAAAACTATAGCGCCGGCAAATGTAAAACAATAATTCAAAACAAAATCTCGCTTTGAAAAGAAATCATGTAATCGTGTATATATTATTACCTAAAATTAAAATATATAGAAAACTGATTCAAATTAATAAAATACCACCAACATAACAAAGCGTTCAGATATTGTTTTTAAAGATAAAAAGTTCATTAAGAAAAATAGATTAATAGCCTGATTCCATTGCCGCATTAAAACGTATTTAGCCAAATGCGCATTTATTTACACAGGGAATCCCATAAGGCTAAATGCCGCATTTAAAATAAATGGGATTTTTAAATGCGATTAAAAACCATTCGCCCCGAACGTTTTTAGAAAAAATACCGGAAAATACCGATGTTATTTTCTTCGTGCCACCACTACAACAGCTGTTTTCTATAAGCAAGGTTGGCGCAATTTTTGATGTCTTTTGAATTTAAAATCTATTTTGTATATAAATTACTGAAACCTAGAGCGCACGCTGCAAATTCTGCTCGAAGTACCATAATGCATTACTGCTGGATCTCTGGCATTAAATAACTCTCACATATACGGGTATCCTTGCCCTTTTTAGAAACTGTGGTGGTCTCCATTGCAAGCTTCTCTTCTTTGTCGTCCAAGTTGGCAAATGTATCGGTCGCAATATGGATGTCCTGCTGAGCATTACAGAGTTTAGTCTACTAAACTCACTCATGTGCAATAATTTAAATTATTTTCTTTTGGATTTGCCAAAACTCAAAAGTATACAAGCCCAGATCAGCTGTTAGTGCCACTCACATGTCGGAGTAGCATTTACTAAATGCTAATGCGCCAATGGAATCAGGCACATTTAAAAAGTCCACTAATGCGGCAATGGCTATAAATTAGTTTCCCATTTTTTTTTCCATTCCGAAATAAGACTTCTTTTTGCGTTCTTTCGTAAGCGAGGTTTTCGGTGAAAAACACGATCTCAAAAATATCGGACGATCGGCAGCGTTCGGTTTCAGCTTTTGTTTACATTGCAAAAGAAGGCTTTTTTATGCATTATAGTAGAAGGGACGATTTCATAAAATCTCTTTAGAATGCATAAACAATACTTCTTTATAGCTTCTCACATTCTTTTTCGCTTGCAAAGCATGCATGAAAGAAGCTTTTTTTATTGGAATGCGTTCTCTAACTTCCGACTGGGTATTTGAACACGCAAATTTCAACCTGTATAACATTTATTTATTTCGCTTTCGCCTGAACTTTAAGAATACTCAAATAGCTTTAAAACTGGGGGACTAGTTTGCGTAGAAACGGACGGACACACGGACATGGCTAGATCGAATCTCCTAATTGCCGCGCACTCCAACCCCACGTTAGAACCCTTGCTTTTTAAGAATTGAATATTGTTACATATATCTGCATAAATTGATCGCTTCCTGGTAGTTTTACCTAAATAACATTTATTTATTTCGCTATCGCCTGAACTTTAAGATTACTTAAATAGCTTTAAAACTGGGGGACTAGTTTGCGTAGAAACGGACGGACAGAAGGACGGACAGACGGACATGGCT